AAATGGGCACCCAGTGCCACACAGTAATTACCTACTTTGCAACTATAATGCCTGCTTACGGAATAAGAAATCACATAATTAACAGTACTAATAAGTGAATTATTTTGTTAATTTGTACGCATTTCAAAGCACAGGCTCTATCAACCAGGTTATATTTATGCAACATTTGAGATAACAGTTTGCGTTCTTTATCCAGTTACATTTAATTTATACAATAATTTTTGTATTCATTATCCCACGACAGAAACCCGATATAGTTTATACGAAGCTGTTAATAAAGTAAAATAAGTATCTGATACAACTGTGTCGTAAAGACATCAACATTAAAGAGTAGAAAGATAAAATAGACAATTTCAGCTAACGCTTACACGATATCATATTAATCTGAACGTGTACGGCAAAACATTCTTGAATTCGAAACGTAACTGCTTGTTGAACGTATGCTTTCGTAGATGGACTCCCATCGATTGCTGAAAATTATCTGTTTCGTCAAACATTTTAGTTACCATCTTCAGGGTGGTTATGTAAGCTAATGGTGGGCGCTTTCGGAAGCTTTATGTAAACCAGGCCGTATGTGACGAGCTAGATTTAATGGCGCTGATTAGTGGAGTGGAACAGCGATCCGCTATCCAATTGGATAATTTTCAACATTCGACAAGCCTCATCCCCGTATACCCGACGTTGTGCTTTGATCTCTAGCCTCTAAAACGTCGGAACAAACGAAATTATTTGTTGTTTAATCCAGTTAGAGTGACTCTTATTTTGCCTTAATCTTTTTCCCCCTTTGCTTTGATCATTTATTTCTGTTTATTTTTTCGACATGTTTTTCTAATTCTTCTTTCTTCATTTATTCAGTTTTCCTTTCTTCTTTATTTCGGTTAGAACGCTGGCCTTGTAATCCTGGGGTCTCGGGTTCGATTCCCAGCGGTGCCCGAATTTATAACTTGTGTTGGGCAAGGCCGTGGTCTAGGCATCACGGAGTTTTCCTCCGTGGCATCCCAACAATTACTCCATTCACACACAGAAGAAGGCAATGGCAAACCACTTCTGGATCATCTGCCAAGAACGTATATGAACAGGTCCCAGTCTGAGAAAAGGATGGAAGGATCCTGTTCATATGGACCTGTCGGCAGACAGAACACTACAAATAAATAAAACTCTTCTGAATCCAGTAACATCATCGAAGTTACTGTCGTACATTAGTAATTTTATAACAGTCACATGTTAATTCATAAAACATTAATTGTGCGTATTATATCATGTAATATACGACATTACCAAACCACTTATTACGTTGCCATCATAAAACATGCATATTAAGATAAAAGAGATGTGTGGTCTTGTTTGGATTTCGTTAAAGCAGCTGTACCCAACAACAAGACAATACGAAGTCTTGTGAATAATGAACGTAAGGCCGATAGTCATTTGTCACCGTATCCAACCCTCCTTGTCTCCATAGAAACGAACGTTGTTGCAAACAAGCGTGCATTAGCTTGGGATTAATCCGATTTGTACTTTAAACTACGTAGGTTTCGAAAGACGGAGAAAGTGGATAGTTGACAGCATCCTAAACAGCTCGCTTCAATCTTGCTGCTGAATGGAATGTCTTGCCACTGATCACTGTCTCCTGCATTGCCTTAGGTACCATGCAGTAGTATGCAACCAGCACGGCGCCCTCAGATCGTTCTTTGTTACCTAATACGTCAATTTAGGGCCTGGCATGACTGCTATGCATTTTTATTGAATTTCGCCCGAAGTTTGGCATTCTAAATTGAGAATTAAAATGTTTCCTCTAGTCTCATATGTACTATCAAGCTGAATTAACCCTTTCAAGCCCACTGGTAACTATATGTACCATTGCTGTAACAGTCAGTAAATCTACATTTTTTTCCCCACAGAGTGAATTTGTTTGTTTCATGTGATTCTTGGTGTAAACAATATGGCCGCTTATCCACTTACTTTGATACTGAGAACGACCCGTTCTTCAAGTGCCTGAGCACTGCGGGTTCCAACTTTTGATTGGCTCGATCTATAGACATTCGGTAGGACTCCTTGGACGAGGGATCGGCCCGTCGCAAGGCCTCTGCCTGTACACAGAACAGCACAACAAAGAAAAACGCGGACAAACATCTATAGCTTGAGTGGGATTCGAACCCAGGGTCCCAGAGACCAAGAGGCACGAGGTCCGCGCCTCAGACCGCGCGGTCACTGTGATCATTCGCTGACCCACTCCATTATTAAAAGGATACGAGGGCTACATGTCCTCAACGCAAGAGTTGAGGAAGCGTGTTCATCAACGATAATGTGTGGAGCTTCACCTCCATGTCTCTCCGCGCCTCTATCGGATAACGCTCGGCCACAGTGCGTTTTATAATCGGTATTGTTTGAGCTAGCTGTTAAAGTGTCCTGATAGCAACTTTTACTTAGAAGGTTTGTTTCTAATGTCGCGTGAATCGAGGATGTTTGGCTCTGTGTTGAAACCCCGCGGCAAAGCGTCTGTTTCCCTTTTATTACCGGGTTTGATTATCGGAGGCAGTACTGTGTGTTTTGAAGACTGATTTACGTAATTTGCTGAGTTAAAATAAAAGGTATTACATTAATTTAAAAACATTATCGACTTTATGTAAACTAAATAAATGAAGTTTTCGTGGTTTTATCCGATAACGTAAATGGTCAGGGTGACTCTCTAGTGAACAGGAAATGAAGTTTCGACGTCTAGTAATGAAAATTCGAGCAGTGAATTCGTTAACAGATTTCGAGAAAGATAAATAATTTATTCTGTGTCGAGTTACTTTGGAGCTATTGTTCTGAATCTGTTTAGACAAATTTCGCAACGTTATAAAATTAGTTGTTAAGAAAACGTTAAATAAGACTTGGTTCGTTTTGGATTTACTTGTTCGTAGTTCCTTTGTTCATGTATTTACCCGAAAGGGTTCACTGTACTTTTATTAGGGAGAGCTGTAAGTGGGGGACTGCGCTAAATAGTTGTCATCATGAAAGAAACATTTTTATTCATTGTTATTTGGAATCTGAATTAAGATTGAAGAGGGGATAAAGCCAAGTAACCTGTATTATCGTAGACAGCTGCACAATTTGAATTCAGGCGAAGCATAAACACGACGAAATTAAGGAAACTAGCTTCGTTGAACTTAAGACTTGAGTCGATTGTGTAAGCGGTAGGTGAAATGTTGCGTAAAATTTGGTTTCGGTGAACACTTATTAAATTCCAAGGACGCAGAAATACAAAACAAATTTAGTTATTATGAAGTTATAAACATGTTATTCTGCATTTGTATGATTCGGAGCGTCTGTGTGCTGTTATATGAGCTTAGAGAGTGTAAAAGTTCTCATTATCATCTAAATATCTATAATCAGTTGCTAAGAAACCGGACTACTTGTATTGTTCTTATTACTAAAGTAATTGCATGATATAACAAATTAGGAAGGATTTTCAGGAGATATATAGACGAGTGAGGCTGGAACGGGCCAACATGAGATACCCCAAAATCATGTTTGCCTAAGATTCGTTTTAGTATCATCCTCCCATCGAAATCTACGTCTTCCGAGTGCTTCCTACCTTCAGATTCTTCATCCTATATTTTGTACGAAATTTATGTATCTTCCATGCATGCTACATTGTGTTCCCTTGTTT